CATCCTCGGCAACAAAGTGTCTCCCCCTTCCTCTCCCCTCCCCTTCCCCCCACACTCCCTCTCCACCCTCCTTCCCCTTCCTTTCTCTTCCTCTCGTCCTTCCTTCTCTCCCTCCCCATCCCTTCCTTCTTCCTCCCTCCCTCTTCCTCCCTTTCCTCTTCTTTTCCTTCTCTCTCCTTTCCTTCTTTCTCCCTCCCTTCCTTCCTTCTCCTTCCCTTCCTTCTCTCTCTTCTTCCCCTCTTCTCCCTCCCTTTCTCCCTCTTCCTCCTCCTCCCTCTCCCTCCCTCCCTCCTTCTCCCCTCCCTCTCCCCCCCTCCCTCCCTCTCCTCCCTTCCCTCTCCCCCCCAGGAGAACACCGGCCTTCTCCCAACTGACAGATAACAATGAAGGATGCCTGAACTTCACACTGCCTCCCTTGCAACTTCGAACCCTATAGATCAAATTGCAACTCATCATAGCAATGCGGGTGAGACGCTGAGATCTTTCATTAAAAGGGTTAAGGTAAAAAAAAAAGGAAAATTATTAGGTTTGGTAGCGAGGGATGAGAGAAAGGTAGGGGGTGGGGGGAGGGGAGGGGGGGAAGGGGTTTGTCCCTAAGAAAGAAAGAAGGATAAGAGAGAGAGAAAGAAAGAATGGAAAGAGAGAAAAGAAGAGAGAGAGAGAGAGAGAGAGAGAGAGAGAGAGAGAGAGAGAGAGAGAGAGAGAGAGAGAGAGAGAGAGAGAGAGAGAGAGAGAGAGAGAGAGAGAGAAGAGAAGAGAGAGAGAGAGAAAACAAAGAGAGAAAGAGAGAAGTGACGGAAAACGGAATGATTGGTGAGTGTCTGCCTGATCCGTGATGTATTTTATTTATCATTCTATCATTATTATCATTATTGTTTGTGTGGGTGGCAATCGAGTGTACACTTACTTTGATGCTCGTACATAAAGAAAATTTATTCATAGGATCATTAATGCATAGATAAGTACAAGCATGCATACATACAGACATACAGACATACGTATATGTTGCATATTATATACGTATATATAATATATTTATATATTATATATATATATATATATATATATAATATATATATATAATATATATATATATATGTATATAATATAATATATATATACCTACTATATATTAGTATATATAAATACTATACTAATAATATTATATAAACATATATATATATAATATATATATAATATAATTATTCATACATACCTCCTATTATTGATATAGATAGTAGGTATATATAGTATAATATTGAATAAGACGAGAGAGGAGAGAGAGGAGAAAGAGAGAGGAGACGAGCGAACGAGAGAGGAGAGAAGGAAGATTTTTTTTCATCATATGCTGGGAATTCGGGCAGAAATAGAGACATAGAAATCTCTAAAGGGACAGCCTTTGAGATAGCGAGTAATGAAAAGGCATAGAGAAGAAACCTGATGAATAGACAGACAAAGCGAGAGCAATAAATAGACCAGACAGAGACAAAACACATAAAGAGAGACAGCAAGGAGGAGGCGAGAAAGGGGGGAGGGAGA